TTCATGGTCAAATTTCAAATGTATACGGCAGGAATTTGACGTCAAATGAATTCATGAACTTGTTCGTGGATGTTTTCATGCAATAAGATCCTGTTCTAATATACAATTTTGTGCCAAGTTGAACGTAAACTCCATGGTGCCAATATTGTTCTTTTCAAGTATAGAACTTCGAAAGAACTACATCATTCAACAGTTTGTTAGATATGGATGAATAAAAACCACAATGAATATTAAATCTCAAAGAATGTTTCTAGCAAGAATTTGTTGAGTGGTCGGCACTATCAGATAATCTATGAATTTGTTCATCGATGGAAATACTGCAAAATCACCATGACCTCGAAGAAATTCGCCTGAATAAGTTCGTGGAGAAATGGTTGACGTAAAAAGGGTACAACAAACCCCCCTCAGCTGAGAAAGATTTGCCCTCACGGGCAGCTTTTAGGTTAAATGTATTTTGCTTATATGCAAAATCCACAGAAAAAAATGTTTACTTGTTAGAAGTGTCCAAAGCTAATTGTTTTTCGTGATATATATTTTTTAAAGTTCCAATTTATTATTTGTACCATGATGATAAAACATATTTATCAAGTTGCTTTGGATATCAGAGTAGCGTTGCTATGGTTTCTAATGTTCTATTGCTTTAAACTTCATGAATAAGTTTAAGTTGGCAATAAGTTGTTAAACATCATGGAGTATACGCACGAAGATGTACGCTACAGATTCCCTAATAGACACCTGCCTAATTCAAAGACTTTCAAACAAATCGATCAGCGGTTACGAGGAACTGTTAAGAAATGATGAGCCTTATTTTGAGTAGTAAAAACCATTTGGATTTTAGGTAGTTTTGCTCAAAATAGTGGAGCTACCAGAACTGTACTTACAGCTGAAGTTGAAGAAAATGTTTTAGATACTGTACTTTGAAAGTCCTACAGTTGGTGTTAGGAATGCAGCTCGGGAATTTCAAGTTCGTAAATACCATTTTTCAAGAGCAACTGGTCCGTCCATACCACCTACAAAAAGTACATGGTTTGAGCGTGGATGATGAACCCGCAAGGATAGAATTTTATACATGCCTCTTAAGGAAGTTTAACCACGACAATGGTTTTACTTCGTTACCATTATTTTCGGACAAAGCAGGATTTGGAAGGGGTGGGCCCATTAACTCGTATAATCTTCACATTTATGCAGACGAAAATCCTCATGCAATAATAAAAACCGGCCACCAAGTACAATTTCAAATTAATTTATGGGCAGGAATAATTGGACAATATTTAATAGGACCCGTTGAGTTACCACCTACAATAAATGGCCAAAGGTATGTACAATTTTGAAGAACAATTACCCACTCTTCCATTACAAACAAGCAAGAATATGTGGTTTATGCACGACGGCGCTCCACCTCATTTTAGTATATTAGAGAGCACCTAAATAGTTTATCCACCCTAGTCTATAGGCCGATCAGGACCTTATCGTGGACGGCTAGATCACCAGATTGAAATCCTATGGATTTTTTCTTCTGGGGTGATTTAAAACGACGCAAATACGCCAGTGGAAACTGTAGATGATCTTCGACAAAGAATTTTCCACCATAGCCAGGAAATGAAAAATAATATCCAAATGCTTTGGAGAGTGCTGCAAGGATTAGTTCGTCGAGCTCTTAGTGTGTTTATGAGTTATGTTGCCATCCTCATTTGTTATTGTTAAAAACCATAGCAACGCTACTCGGATATTATCCAAAGCATCTTGATTAGTATGTTTTAAAAATGTTTTCTCATCATGGTACAAATTATGCATTGGAACTTTTAAAAACAAATATCTTGAAAGCTATCAGCTTCAGACACTTCTAAGAAGTAAACATTTTTGTGGAAATACGAGAAATTAAGATTTTTCGGTCAGTTGTTGTATACAGGGTAGCACAAAAAAGTTATGATAAGTTATTTATCGAAATAGTGCTAGAAGTTTGGCGATAAAAAATAACGGATTCTTGTTTCTCATACTGGAAAACCTCTCTATACAGAGTTTTAGGCCAAAATCTGAAATACTTCTCAAGCAATAAGGAAAAATAGAAAATAAAATTGTGACTTTGACACCCTGTATCTCGCAAACTATCAAATGCGCGGTGGTTTGGACTAGTGACTAGCTAGAATACAAGTTGCCGTTCTACCGGTTTTAATGACATTACATCGATTTTTTTAGGTAGTACCCCTGCTGATCCTTTTGTTATTCAAGAGAAACCTAAGCTCAGTGTTGTTTTCAGGGGGTCTATATCTCTGAAAAGGAGCACTGTAAGATATTTTTCATAGGATCATGGCACATTTTTTGTATTCTATAAGAATCTGTGGCGTTGATCACACATTCTGGAACACCCTCTACAGAGCTTTATAATACATATCAGCTATAAACATGCCGCCTTTTGATTTTCCTTAAAAATATGTCAGTCAACTACGGCCTAGAGCCTGTTATAATTCTAAATACTCTAATATCCACATTTAGTTTCGACAATGGTCAAAAATGATAAATAAATTGACATCGCTTATGTAACACCAAATTTAGTTCGCTATTACACGAATATTTCGAATCATCCAAAACCCATATAAAAATATACTTTCTCTAAGTATGCGCCTCAATTATACACAAGGCTAAATTGATTGTTCTATGCAGCTGATCATACAATAGCAGTTAATATAATTAGATTCAAGAAAACGTATGTGACTAATCATTTCTTTGAACAACAGTGGTTGAAAACCAGAATAATAGATACTTGTGGAAATCACAAATACCGCAGACGTAAAGGTCGATTTATGAACTCAAAATTGTATTATTTTTAACATATTTGAAGATCAGATTTGTCTGCAGGTCATTCTGGTTGATGGACGACAGGTGTTATAGTCTAATCATATTAGACGAAAATACCCCTGGTTAGAGAAATAATTGTAAAGTCTGGTTTTATTGCTGCAAGTTGTTCAAGGGGGTATTTAAAACATGGACGCATAAAATGGTTACACCAATTTTTGTGGGAAAACTTTTTATCCGACAAGAAAGAATGAGAAAACGTGTTTTTTGAGATTCAATCGAAAGTGTTGTCAGGAACGAAAAAACTCTTCATAAAAGATTTTTGGGTATTTATGAATGAAACCACAAGTAAAAAGATCCGACTCATAGCAAAAAAAGTTATGGCCGAAAACCGAGGCAAACTGCAGGATTTGGCACGTGGTAATGCGCCGATGGTTTCTCGCAGAAGCTTGAAATTCTTCAAATTCGTAGCATTCGTACTTCTAAATACCCACAACAAAATTGGAGCAGATTGGTCAAGTAGTTTTTTGAGAATTTCTAATTGTTTATCCCAAAACACCTGTTTTCCGGCCATCGCTACTTGGGCAATATACAGGGTTCGTTCATAGAGCATTTAACAGCAAAATACACATGTTTACCTTGCCGATATGAGTCACAAACCATTCCTAAAGATAAATGTTATTTTTATGTCAAAAGCAAAGGTTACGTATTTTACTTCTAAACAAATTCAAACATTTCGTATTTGTAATTCGCAAACAAAAGATGCTGGGCACATCCGCTTTGTTTTAAACTGGCAACGGACGGTGAGCGATAATATAATATATATATTGTATCCTCCACGTTACAGAAATATCGCTCCATGTGTAAACCTATTGAGACGATATATTACGTATCTAGGATATGCTTACCGAGCGATATTTGCGCTATATCTATTCCCCTCTTGCGTCGCGTCACCCGAAAATACCAACGAACCGTTCTTGCTGGCAGCCGGCTTGGCGCGATGTTGGTATTTTATTATTTGTTCTTGCACTTCGGAATTCGCAATAGACACAATGGAGTATTTTATTGAAAGTGTAAGAAAACATCCATGTTTATGGAAGGTAGATTCGATCGAGTATGAAAATAATTAGATTAAAGAAGCAGCTGATTGCGATATATCCGATGGTATGAACTTCTAAATATTTATTTTTATATAATAATAATAATAATATTTTATTCACTCAATGTACAAAGATAACAATATGAGTAAATAAATACAAAATCAAAACAGGCCCAATAGAAGGCATCGCCTGTACATGGACCAATAATTTAAGTTGAAACTGTAGAATGCAAATGACAAAAAAGGACAAAAATTAGCTACAGTAGATTATGTATTTAGTTGATGTTCGTATTTATGAGTTTATGAATTTCAGTCCTAGATATAGAATGTAGCCACTTTTTTAAATTTCTTTTGAAACAATTTCCGAAACGTAAATCTTTTAAGTCTTTAGGTATAATATACATAGGTAGTTTGAAAGGGAAACCCAAGAGGGGATTTTAGGGAATACCTTGTTAATTAAATACACTGTGTACAGCACAGATCAGCAGATCAGCCTATGCACAGAAATGCTGAAAAATCGGTAGGTTCGGCACCACTGCTAGAAAAATATGAAAATATATATTCTGTAGTCCGTTGCAGTCATAATATAATATAATATTATAGCGTATCGTACGACTATAATATATATTATATTATCGCCCACCGTTCGTTGCCAGCTTTAAAATGTGTACAGTAGCATAAGTTTTTCGAATATCGTAGCGCATTTGTTCAATTACTCACAAATTTGTTTAGAAGAAAAAAAAACGTAACCTTTGTTTGTCGCATAAAAATAACGTTTATCTTTCGGAATGGTTTGTGATTCATATCGGCAAGGTAAAAACGTGTGATTTGCTATTAAATGCTTTTTGAAGTGATTGCCGGTTTTGAGATAAACAATTAGAAATTCTGAGAAACTACTCCACCAATCTGCTCCAATTTTGTTGTGGTTATTCAGAAGTACCAATGCTACGAATTTGAAGAATTTCAAATATCTGCGAGAAACCATCGTCGCATTACCAACAAGTGCCAAAATCTGCATTTCGCCTCGGGTTTCGACCATAACTTTTTTGCTGTTAGTCGGATCTGTTTACATGTGGTCTCATTTTGTAGGTCTCATAAATACCTAAAAATCCTATATAAAGAGTTTTTTCGTTCCTGCCGACACTTTCGATTGAATCCCAAAAATCACGTTTTCTCATTCTTTGTTGTCGAATAAAAAGTTTTGCCACAAAAATCGGAGTACTCATTTTATGCGTCCATGTTTTGAATACCTCTTCGGACAACTTGAATCAATAAAACCAGACTTTACAATTATTTCGCAAACCAGGGGTATTTTCGTCTAATATGATTAGACGTTTCAATCTCGTCAGGTACAATTGACATTTTTGACAATATATTTTGTTTATTTGACTTCTAGGTGACACTTCGTTTGTTTTTTATTCCATTTACACATTCCTATACACTATGTTATTACTAAATTATTTATAACTATTTTTCAATGATGATGCAGTTTATCCTCAATTTCACTTGTACTTAGAAAATTCGTATTTATAAAGTCAGGAAGAAAATGAAGGTTAGTTTCCTCGCGTTTGAAGAAAGTCTCACATCCATGACAAAGGTAGAGCCACATTCTGCAACACTGCGTGCGTCACGATAAAAGGAATTACGTCACAGTTTGGCGCGAATTTTTACTAGTGAACAGTCAAAACATTTACATTTCAACGACACGAAAATTTTGTGAAATGAGTGTCATTCTGTAAACATACAATCACTAGTCACATACGTTTCTTTCAGTTACTCATCGCCTAACCATTTTGGTATTTCACTTCCCCCTACCTTACTTCACAAGACCTACAGAACAGTTTGTTGTGCCTCAGTACGAACTCATAACTTACGCGCTATTCCGTTTTACGATAAATACTTGTACAATTCTTTTCCGCCTACATAATCGGATACGCGAGAGCTGTCAAGCTATATGTCATCCTCAAAGAGACCCTTAACGCCCTGCTATTCTCTTTTCTCGAATAGTGATTTCCTTTACGTTCAGTTAGTTTCCATTAGCGTTTCTTGTGGCTATGATGGTATTCCTGTTGTTGGAATCTGTGCCGTATATCTTGCCAGCTTTCTTCGCCATTGAACCAAGTAGCTCTTGCGATAACTTGTGAGCGGATTTCAGAGATGTCAGCCACTCTTTTAGGCCGATTTCATCCTGCAACAAAATAATGTATGTTAAGGTGCATACGTTACAAGTATTTTACGTTTTCGTACGTTCGACTATTCTGTTCACTACAAATGAAACTGTGTTTTCAATATTACAAATATTACAAAATAAAGCTAGAAGAATCATCTTAAATAAACATAAATATCCTACAAGGTCTGTCGCAAAGTAAACAGGACTTTTGAAAGATATCCGGTTCGAGTAGCGCCATCTATTATCGGAGACTGACGTTGGTTAGGTCGATCGATGCCCTGTCAAAAGTTATCGCGCTCAAAGTGAGTGTCTTTTTAGCATCGGTCGAAAAATGGGCATCGAACAAAGAGCCAAAATTAGGTTCTGTGTTAAACTTGGGAAAACATTTACCGAAACGCATCAGATGTTGATGCAAGTCTATGGTGATGATTGTTTATCTCGGAGCCGAGTCCACAAGTGATTTACAAGGTTCAAAGAGGGTCATGTGTCGCTGGATGGCGACGAACATGTTGGCCAGCTAAAATTACGTCAGAAACCGTCGAAAAAGTGGGTGAATGTATCAAAAATGATCCAAAATCCGCTTTAAGATACACAGACATAGAATTAAATATCTCTAAAGATTCAATCCATCGCATTTTGACCAAGAATTTGGGCATGCGAAAGGTGTCTTCACGCTTTGTTCCGCACAAGCTCATGGATAACCAAATACGATCCCGAAAAAAAACATAAACCACTCCCCATATTCTCCTGATATGGCACCGTGTGACTATTTTCTTTTCGGTAAAATTCTTTTTTTGGCCATGAAGGGACAACGGTATGCCGACGTAGAGGCCATCCAAAAGGTGTCGACGGGTATCATGTAAAAAACCTACAAAACGTCAAAAAAACCCTACAAGACGTCAACTTGCAGACTAGGTAGTTTTTAGGGCGCAAACAGTTATTCCACGTTTGCTCACTAGGATCGTTGTGAACGTCCATCTATGAAGGAATTACTCAACTAAACTACACACATTATTGGTTGCATAATTTTGTGAAGCTGAGTGATCCATGTCTGTAGTTTTTATCTCTGAGAAGAAAGTTGGTTGAATAGCAAGATCGCATCTGGATCATTATGTGTATTGGTCTGCATGTGTATAAAATCAGTGATATTTGCTGTGTGAGAAAATCATTACTGACTATGCTGAATATGACGGGTTATTTATATGTTGTGCTTTCTGAAGAGAGGTTATGTTCAAAGTTATAAATTAAGAAAAACTGAGGAAAATTACGGGAAATCATCACCGCGCCCGCGTTGTGTGTAATTACTGTTAGCATGTATATGGCTTATAATTCGACAGTGTACAGTGAATATAATTATTTCTTATATCTCTCATTTTTGAAATCCAGCAAATTTGTATATGGATTTGTAATTTCCAGAATGGATAAGAAAAAGTGGATGCGCAACTAATTTCTAGCTTTAAGTGAATTTGAGCCAAGAACCCAATGTAATTATCATCAACACATACAACTTACAGCTTAGACCTCCAGTACTGCCATCTCAGAAACAGATTTTACATCACATGAGAGCCAAAGATTGATAACAAGCCTCTTGACGTTTAGGCAACACGTACAACTAAGTGCTAAGTTAACATCTTGTAGAAAAACCTACATATTGTCGAACATCTTTTGGTCCGTGCAAATCGCTGTATTAACTCTGAATGAGATTATTTTGAAAAAAATATATTCGATTTTCCGAAACAAAAAATGTTTGTTTATTTTTTCTTTAAACTGCTTACGTTGCGACAGACCTTGTAAAATAAATTTTATGCTGGCCGAAATACATCAAAAATTGTATGACATACTTAGTTTTTATTTTCATATTCAAGTTACAAAATCATCTTCTACCAAACCGATCAGAAAGTTTTAGTGAATTTAACAATGAGTATACCATAGTTGTTCTGCTAGAGGGCGTATAGAATTTCAATTACAAATTGTAATAGCAATATAATTAACAAATCAGTATTTTAAAAAGAAATGTACGAATTTAATAAATTAAGTAATGATATCGCCCAACTAGCAAAGTAGTGGTATAAGCTTTTGGTAAAAGAACCGTTCAGCCATAAAAGCTCTCTATTGATGTTGCCTGAACACCAAAATGCTGGCTTAATATTGTGTGGAAAGCAAGTTTGCTTTTTGCAATATGTTTGCTCTAAAATGAAATGTTTAAAATATTCTTATAGCATAGTTATACAACACCTTATAGGGCAAATTTTTAACTGTTTGCATAAAAGTTTATACAACTATTTTATACGGCATATTTGCAAGTTAGTCAAAATGGTTGTGTTGTGGCATCTATGGTAACGTTTATAAAACAAACCCGAGACTTGTTGTTTTGCTGTGCAATTTACTACTTTAGCCAACAAATTGCTCCCAACGGAAGCACTTATACAACTGTTTTTTAGTAACTGTTAAAGGCTGTACATATGCTAAATATGTTGGTAAACAACTTCACCATAACCTAACTTTCTGCTCTCACATTTTTGTAAAATGCCATAATCAATGTTTTAAGACAAACAACGCATGCATATTGGTTCAGAAGGTTTTATCAACTGTTCAAACAGAAGATATAGATCTGGTACAAATTCTGGGTAAATCATTCGACTCTGTCGGTATTTCATTTCAGACATTTGTCAAATTGTTGTATAACACCTGCAGGCAACACCAAAACATTCTAATAACCTAAAGACAACATGGACGATGCCATGATTGTACACAACCACCCGCCATATTGGGCAAACCTTTATTCCTCTATTTAATATTAAATAATTATGTTTCAGTTCGAAATTACAGATATAACGTGATAAACATTAGTGTAATTGTGTCTAAATAAAGGATTTGTGGAAGATTTAACGCAGATAAGTTCAGTCTTCCATCTTAACAATCTAGACATACTTTTGATCATTGTCAAAATATGAATCAAATACGAAGCCCGTAGAAATTGGGTAACTAATCTGCACGATAATCACAATAAATTTGCTGCGCAACTAATTCAATAGCCCTATATCACAGTGTAGAAGTTTATCATATACCTGTGTATGAAATTCACAATGGCCGATATGTAAGTAAACAAGATGACTGTAATGTGTTAGCTATATATCCTTCAATTCGCCTATACAATTTATAAGAAATAGTTTGGTTGCAATAAAGTAGAATCATGTAACAGAATAGTTGTATAGTTCACAAAAACTGAATCTTGCACTGACGCAAATGTCCTATAGCGGCTGAAAGAGGCTTACACTTTTGTTGTATAACTGTTACCTGCTGCCCTTATACAACCTCTTAAATGACTGAAGTGTCCGATTAGGTGTGCCCATTCCGCTTGTATAGCTGTTCTAAGAGGGTTTTGCCAATATTCTTACAGTATACAATGCTGTTTAAGGAATACTGTATAATCATTCTTGCAACTCTAATAGGAGTGATAATTGTTAGTTGGGCGAGATGTGTGCCAAAGGGAAATTAGAAAAATATTTCACTGAAAACCAGAATTCATGGTAGTGAAATTTTGTATAAAAATATGTAGAGCTAGTGCCACGATTTGACAAATGATTGAATGTCCATGGTGGCTACATGTTTATACGTTAATATGCGGTACAATTTACGTTCATAAAGTTTCTCTGACTCCAATGCAAAACAGTTCTGACTTAACAAATGGCCCTCGTACATTTCGATAAAAAATATTCACTGGGTATCGTTTGAATCATTCATTGATTATACGTTTCACTGAATGCTAACACTCGCAAATCGTTGATGTATATTAAAATGTTTATTGGAGTTCCATACATACAAATATCGTTTTACACATCAAAGGCATCAGTCAGTAATTGTAAATTATTATTATATTGAGTTCATGAAAAAATGTTATCGATAAATACAGTTACGTTGATGGATTGATTGAGGAATTGGAAGAAAACAAATGTACTACGAATATACATTTCATCCGTTTTTTTGTGATTGAAAATGGTTTCGATGTGTATAATTTTTGAGACCAGTTAAATTTCTTGGAAAGCCCGTAAGGGCCACTCAAGTTGTGGTATCTATGAGATGTGTGCATTTAAGTATTTTCAAAATTTACTACTGGTCGATTCTGGTGATAGATGGCACTTTGCGCTGTCTTAATTTGCTATTTTTTATTTGACTACATGGTCGCAATAATTATTTCTTCAAATCTATAATAAAACACACTAAGTCAGAGAGCAAATATAACGATTAAAGTATTGCGCAACAAAATAAAAGCAAACGTTGAAACAAATGACAACACAACAATTATCATATAAATTCACCTGTTGTTTTTACTTCGAACGCAGTGGTATGATTGGACAGTTTTTTGCAGAAAGGAACCAGCCCAGAACAACAATTATTGAGCAATTAGGCTTTAAAGTTTTGACATTGATAACAAATTCATTTAAGATCAAACACGATTTTAATTAATGGCATACTAAACGGTTTAAATATGTGTATGGATCTTTTTTACAGTAAATGGTATTACTTGTAATAGTTTTTTCCTAAAATCTAAATTTTTCATATTTAGTGGGTTGGTTCCTTTCTGCAAAAAGCAGTCCATTTGTAGTCACTGTTCTTGGCGGGTCGACGTGAGACTACCAGTATCCCTTTATATATCTCCAACTCCCTCATACATACTCATACACTCTACCCCTGTGTGTGAACGTTTGTTTGGTAGGATCAAAGACATACGTTTTTTAGTTCTGTCACCGTCTCGACAACTTTGTCATTACGTATGAGTGCCCTTCAATCATATTTGTCAGAGTGACAACTTACTTGACATCGGCGTGCAATTTGAGTTGTCCTGTTATCAATCTTCAATATAAAATTGTACAATGCCCGGAAATACGATCAATGGAGAAGGCCGGCAGCTCGTACTAAATGTATTAGGGTATTTCCAGGAAGAGAATGAAAATAGTGGTCCCCTGTTACCCACTTCATGCGTACTGGAGAGAGTAGCAGATGCGCTGAAGGTACGATCTGTTTACTTATTTAATATGGCGATGATGACGGAACTGCCAAAAACGGTGACTACAACTATAGAACGCTTTCATTGTATGTTTTGAATTAAAGTGTGTTTTATTACATACAGATTTGAATTAAAACGCGTGGCTAATAATCCCTGAACTTGTATGAAATAAATCCAGTTTCATTTCGATACTGATTTTTATCAAAAATGTCACCTAAAATAAATCATTGATTTAAATCATGATGACGAATGCATGAAAATGGATTCTATTGACAACAGATACAAATAAATTTGAAAAGTTAAAATATAGATCCAGAACGATAACTTACCGGATTCGTGAGAACGACCTTGCCGTCCCGCAACCTGATCACAATGCAGTTCTCGTTCTTAACTTGCACTAATTCCGGGCTGACTTCCTCGATTTGATCCATGAATACAAGTTCAGGCTTCGCTGAGTCGGGATGCAACTCTAATCGATTCGGATACAGTTTCGCATATCGCATCTGCCAGCTGCTAGTCCAGGGACCTCCTAGTTTCTTTACGTAGCCATGGAGAATGCAATCCGATTCTGAAACAAATTTAGAGATTATTTAACACTAATATTATACAGCAAGAACATCATACGGACTGCAAATTGCAACACTGACTGTTGTGCAATTTATAAAAGTGTTCCAAGTCACAAAAACCAACAATTTATGTATTGTTATACAGTCGCGGACAAAAGTTTGGAAACAAATATTAACATTATTATGAACCATTTCATATACCTAAATTAAAATTGTAAAGGAACAGATAATATAGGTAGGTAGGTTTATCTTATCAATATTAAAATTCTATGAAAATAAACACACGCGTTTTTTTAAATACCAGAGTTTTTTTAACGACAAAAGTATGGAAACATTTCAGTTTTGCCGTATTTATTCGTTCTGGGATACCCTGATATTGCGTGCGATAAATATTAACATCAGTGAGATCGGCAAAAGTAAAAGAATTTTCAAAAGATTTAAGAGACAAAGTAATTGAATTATTTAGAAGTGGCGTCAGAAATGTTGACGTTTCTCAAAGATTAAAAATGAACAAAGGGATCATTTAAAAAATTATTAGTAAATATCAAGATTACGGATCAACGACAACGCGGCCCAGGTGCGGAAGACCGAAAAGAAAAAAGATTATATTTTGGATTGTTGCATTAAACGTTTGTCCCATGAAGATCTTCAAATGCCAGCCACACAGATTTTCGAAAGAATCGTAGAAGAGGGTACCGGAAATCTTTCTGTCAGAACCGTGCAGACACGCTTGGTGGATTTTGGGCTTTTTGGTAGGCGTCCAGTGCAAAAGCATCACATTTTAAAAAAATCGTATTGCTCAGCTTGAATTTACTAAAACTCATCTAACTTGGACAAAACAATAATGAAATGCAGTTTTATGGAGCGATGAAAGCAAATTTAACTTGTGTGGATCAGACGATACGGCATATGTGAGACCCAATACGAAAAAGATACTACAAAAACTATCAGTTGCCAACAGTTAAGCACGGTGGAGGCAACATCATAGTTTGGGGCTATTTTTCTAGTTCTTGAACGGGTCCAATTGTTAAAATTGTTAGGAAAATGGATCAAGAACTTTACAAAGATAGTCTTACTGAACACATGCTCCTTTTTGCTGAAGAAGAAATGGCTTTACGGTGGACATTCCAGCAAGATAATGACCCCAAAAACCTCAAAATTCGTAAAGGACTGGTTAAGACTAAAATATGTTAATGTTCTTACATGGCCTTAGCAATCCCCGGACCTACACCCTATAGAACATCTCTGGGAGTATGTTAAAAGACAACTGACGAGAAAAACTCTTACAAATAGGGACGATTTATTTGATTATGTAAAAAATATTTGGCAAAATATCCCCCCTGTAAAAAATTGGTGTCTTCTATGAGCAGCAGATGCCAGGCAGTGTTGAATGCTAAAGACTATGCTAGCAAATATTAACTAAGCAGTATTTTTCACATCTTTTTGTAGAGTTATTGTATTTAATTTCGTAATAAAAAATTTGTTCCCATACTTTTGTCGTCTCATTTTGGCCATAAAATAATATGAAGGTATTTTAATGCTAGTATGTAGTACCACAGCAAACAAATCATTTGTATCCTCAAGACTGTAAGCAAACTATATGAAAAAAAACAGTCCCTAATAAAGAATACAAAATTAGCACACTTTTAAAAAATCACTAAGAATGTTTCCAAACTTTAGTCCGCTACTGTATAAATGTGAATCTCTGTTAGCATCACGTCTGAATCTCAGCACGGAGAGACGTAAGAATGTGAACATTACATTTGTGTACATAAACCCGAGGAAGGTTGTAGGCTTGGTTTTATCCTCGAAAATAAACAGGGTGTAAAAATATGGATAGCTCAAGATATCTCAAAAATACGTTTCATAGAGAAAAATTGTTGTAAATCAATGTCGTAAGGTTTGAAATGATTCGTTCATTAGTGATTTCAAACGTTGTTGACATTCAAGGCCATTTGAAGGCCAAGACAGGTTTCTTAAATCAAACACCTATTTTTGACACCGGAAATGTTAATAGCAGGGAATTTAATATTAAAGTATGCCTTTGCCAATGGCCTTGACCTTAATGGGTACTTGAGGGTGTCCACGAAGTAGGAAAATGACAAAATATCTCGAAGAATACCTTTCATAAATAAAAAAGTTGTGTTATAAAGTTGTATAGTTTGGAAAGGTTAATCTAATGGTGACCTTGAACATAACCTTGACTATAAGCTTCAAGCTCATGTGAAGGTCAGGACAGTTTTTTTAAATGGAACCCCTATTTTTTACACCGGAAATATTAAAAAAAGAAACTTTCTGTTCAAGGATGTCCATGACCTTGACTATGGTCATCAAGGTCATTCGAAGATGTAATGAACTTTTAACGGGAAGCTGTCTATTTTTAGTTCCTAAGATACAAATTGCGGACAATTTTAATATCGAGTATATCCTTGCCAGCAAACCTAACCACGACCTTCAACGTCACTGTAAGATCAGATAAATTTTTAAGTAAAATCCTCACTTTTTGTCGAGGATATAAAAAAGCGAAATATTGAAATAAATATTGTGAAAAATGTACATTGCCAAAGTTACTATTGCATCACTTTCAATATTGCATTTCTTTTTCGGAGACCAATCTCGTTCACACTAATGCGACACGAATGTATTTTATATACTGAACAAAATGAAAGCGGATTCCGCGTAAAATCATTCATCAAATGTAGGTTGAAGTTGAGTCCAGGCAACAATTCGAGCTACTATGTCTTTTATAAATTCGCACCATACTAAAAACATTTACACTTCATCATCAGTTTATCAAAAGAAAAATACCTTTTTCATCTATGTCATACAGCTTTTTTTGTTTTGCCCTTTTCTTGTGCTCTGTTTTGTCAGCTTCAAAGTTCACAGTTTCGAATACTGTTTCCGCCACTTCATTCTGCCACCGTTCTGATATCACAAGGGGGAAGTTTTTGTAGAGTTCTTGATCCGCATCTGTCAACTGCAAAAAAATCATTGAATATGTGTACTGACTCAAGAATTAGTTAGTCCCTATTCTAAAGTGTAGTGATCTGTTGGTCAACCCTAGATTCATTTGGATATTTAAACACGAGAAACATAAAAAATACCTTGATTCCTTTGGTGTCCTCTTCATCAAAAGAACCAATATCAAAAGCATCAGCCGCATTTACCTCTCCTCTAGGGGGTATAAGAGGAGGGGTGTATTTTTGCAGGTACACTTGTTGCCAGTCAATTCCGGCAAAAAATGGATGTTCCTTCACTTCGTCCGATCTGAAAGACACAAAATCTTATAAACACAAGAATTTCGAAAGGTCACTACAAATCTTCTAAAATTCCATTTTAAATAAGGTGTTATACAAGGTTTGTCCGGAAAATACGCATAAAAAATCCGGGGCGTCGTGTCGAGGTGGTTCCCTCTCTCTGCAAGTAACTAGGATTTACGTGTGCTTGTTGGAACTAGCCCTTTTTTATCTGCCGTCGGCATGGAGCTCTCTCTCATCGAGGAACAGCGCATCAACACCAAGTTTCTTGCAAAACTAAGCAAGAGTGGTCGTGAGATTTTTGAGTGTTTGGAACCAGTTTACGGACACAACAATTCTCTGAAGGAACCAGTCATTGAAAAGCTTTCGGGAAGGCCGAGAATATGTGAAACATGACCGCAAATAATGGTCCACGAAATTCTAACAGAAAAACTTTAAATGAAAAAATTGTGTGCGAAAATCGTCCCGAAGCTCTTGACTCCAGAAAGCAAGGAGGGTTGCTTGCTGTGAGGACTGGTTGGAAGCAGAGGAAAGGGGGACCTTCTCAACCGGGTCATCACTGGAGATGAGTCTTGGTTCTACGAATTCGATGTGGAGTTGAAATCACAAAGCATGGAGCGGAAGCAAGCAGAGGAACAGAGAGCAAAAGAAAAAGAAAAAAATCAAGGTCCAATGTGAATACAATTTTGATTGTTTTCTTTGATTCTCTGGGCATTGTTCACCAGGAATTTGTTCCTCCCAGCCAGACAGTGAACGGAAATTTCTACATTGAAGTTTTGCGTCCCTAGTTCGACCGGATTTGGCACAAGGGGGAGTTGGATCCTTCATCACGACAACGCGCTACGTCTCTCGTTGTGCGCGAGTTTTTGACCCGAATCTCAATCACCGTGACACAACACCCGCCCAATTTAGCACCTACCGACTTCTTCCTGTTCCCAAAATGCGAAATGGTGCTTCGAAGGTGGCACTTGGGGGATGTAGAATCTGTGAAGACAGAAACGACACGGCAAAGAAGAGCCTCACAATTGAAGACTTTCAGCGATCGTATCAACAGTGGAAACGGTGTTGGCAGAAGTGCATCTTGTCTCAGGGGAAGGAAACCATATACGTATTTTCCGGACAAGCCTCGCATCAACCCCTAGGAGGTTTAGATAGAGCTTTCAACGGAAATTAATAAGGCATAATTTGTTTATTATTAGAAAAATAATCTTACCCTTGTCCTTTACAGCCCAATCTCTTATCTATATCCCTTTGCAGTAGCCCCTCTAATAATGATTTTAATTCTTTACTAAATGAGTCTGGTAATTCTACGTTCTGAAAACGAAAATTATAGTTAAAAAAATGCTGCTCGGAAAACGTTCAGTGGCTTCCGACGAAATAAAAAAACATCTGAATAAATGCAGTAGACATTACTACTATTATTTACTAGTGAAATTTTTTTATCACAGTGTTTAAGCATGGATCATTCGAGAAGCTTAAAAACAAAGTATTAAAGTTTCGGAGATATTTGACCAAAACAATGACTTACCATAGTTAATGTCATCCTATCGATCTCATGTTTGTCTTTGGTCTTATGTTGGCGAAAAGGCGAATGGCCTTTCAACAATTTGTACAACATACAACCGAAACTGAACCAATCTGCGCTCGAATCGTACGCAGTGCCTTTGATAATACTTCAGGTGCCATATAACCATGAGTTCCTCTGAAACATAAAAACAGAATTAGTTAAAATATATTCTCCCCAACCCTTACAACTACCAACTCAAGAACACCTGAGCATTGAAAAACAAAGTTTGGGCACTATTCATTTTTTCCATTTTTTTGACCTTAGCTCTAAACCGATATGCAAAAACTCCAAAACTGTTTCGTCTTTGGCAGATCAGTAACCTTATGTGAAAATTTTATCAAAATCCGAGAGGTAATCTCCAGGTTATAGATGGGCCAAGAATTAAAGGGCAGACAGACCAACCGAAATGAGTGACATGGTTTTTCGTGAGGTACATCATACTGTAGCAAGAATGAATGGTACTACTAGCGCCATCTGTTGACAACATCGTCAGGGACTCTCCTTCGACATCGAAGCGAGGTGCGAGACTGACCCCGAAGGTTCTGGAGTGGCCGCTATTCACACCCAAAAGAAACCAGAAAAACGGTATAATATGTTGTAGTTACAGTGGCAAAGTATACAATTTTGAAGAGGTCAATTTGTCTATTTGTGATCAACATTCACAAGAAAACCGGACACAAGGGAAGAAATCAAAGGAAGACTGGGGAAGGGAAATAGATGTTTATACAGGATCTTAGGGAAATAATATTTGTAACTTTAAGAGCATTATTCTAAGTAAAAAAGTTCACTATAGCGTGTCGTAGATAATTAAATTTTCTCAAACATTTGGCAACGCTGCAACGCAAGCGCGATACGAGCGCACGGCGACCGCAACTGATTCATCGAATTGTTTACGTTTGTATGATATTTTTGTTGAAAATGTCCCTTGAATTATTGAATACCTTTACGCAGTTTTTTGCAGCTAATATTGTTTATTTAATTACGCTTTCAGTACAGTACATTTGCTTAAAAAAATGACAGAAGTTACCGGTACGTGGCGATACACACCACCAACTCCCACGATTATCAGTCTTATTTGAATGCGATGCGGTGCACGAAAAAAGAAAAAAAAACACATCCGTAAATCACATAAAGTTACAGTTAAATGTACAATTAGTAATCACAACAACACGCGATGATACATGCAGTGCAGGTGGAGTACGACGTTGCCAGTTTTGTGGGGGATTTTGTTTGACTGTTTTCTTCGGAAAACTGTATTTAATAAGCAAGAAAATTATTTTGTTAGAGACAATTAATAAATAGATGTATTGATACATTTTACGCTATTAGGTATATGATTTTAAATTATTAAGGTGCAAAATTAATTTACTTCATTACTAAAAAGAATCAAATTCAGCATTTTTTTGCTCCGAAATGGTCGATTTTCGGACATGAACGTTTTTGCTTAGAATAATACAAGGAATCACCTCATAAAGTTACGAATATTATTTCCCTAACACCCTGTATAGCCTAAACCATTACCTAAAAAGCAAGTTGATAAGTAATAAACTAAAAATTAGATTAAATAAAACAGTAATAAGACCATCAGGTACATTTGCTCGTGAAATATGGATCTCGAGGAAGGCAGATATAAATATCCTCGAGCTGTGGGAAAGAAAGGTATTAAGGAAAATTTTTGGAGGGAACTGAACAATGGTATATAGGAAAGAAGAACAAACCAAGAGCTTGCAGGTATGTATAAAGAATCAAGTATCACAGGATATATAGAGAACAAAGGTTTACGGCAGGTTAAAAGGATGGTAGAAAATAGGCTTCCAAAAATAGTTGTTAGCAGAAGCATAGGAGGCAAGGAGAGGACAGGGAAACCGAAGGAAAGATGGAAGAGCGAAGTAGAAGCAGATCTTAGAAGCTTTGGTCTACAAAACTGGGAATTCATGAGTTAAAATAAGAAGAAATGGAACGAAATGACAAATAAAGCCTTGGGCTATGTATATACATACATATCTTAATTTCGAAATATTCGCGATTACAATACTTCCTTGCCAGTGGCATGGACAGTAGCAAACTGAACATCTTAGTACGTTTACATAATACTGATGTACTCCTTCATCCAAAACGATCCATACATGAACTTGAACTATACTTTTTACGTAAGGTCGTTGAAAAATTGCACGTCTCAACCCCAGAGAATCTATTGGGACACAGTGTGTACTACACACACTCTACGCTCTAGTAGTGTCAGCTGTTTTATCGGTTTTCGTCAATGTTGAAAAAAGTAATTTATAGTATGAATACTTACACGCTAGCATGGGGTTTCTTTTTAGAAAATCACAGGCTAATCCTAAGTCCGATATCCGAACATGACCGTGTTCGTCTAATAGTATATTTGCAGGTTTTAAATCCCTATATACAATATATCTCCTATGCATATGTTCTAAACCTGGAAAAATAAAAAATATTATTTAGTTTGTCCCATTCCGGTCGCACCCCCATTTGTGACCCTCCTGGTATATGTTGGGAATACGCTGGGACACGTCAATTTTGATTTCTAGGGAGACGTCTTTTCATTTATAGCCGTACAATACAGGGTGAGCCAAAATTAAAATATTGTGTTACACTTTAGATTTTCAAATGGAAACCCCCATTTTTTTAATTTTTATATTTTTTAATAACTTTTGAATAATAAAGTTTATAGCTATCCTCAATCTTTGTGAAGCTGTTTAAGTTGTTTATAATAAAATTCTACTAACTTAATACTGATAAGAATGGAATACTAACCAGCAAGAACATATACCATTAGTCAGTCATCGTATGTCATAGAAAAACTTCGTCTTTCATTTCATATTGTTAAGTTACTTACCTAGTAATGATAACTATTGAACAATGACTTATTTAATTCAAGAAAGGGTAGAAATAACAAAACTGTACTACCAAAATGGGAGCATTGCAAGAGCTACTGCCCGGTTGTTTAATGCGTTACATCCAGAAAAAAATATTAACGATAAGTATGTGGCTAATTTGATAAGAAAATTTGAAGAAACTGGATCTGTGTCTAATATTCGACCAGTTAGAAACGAAACCGCAGAAATAACAGTTTTGGGACAAGTGGCACTTGACAACACCCAAAGCACTCGTGGATTGGCTACTTCTTCAGGATTTTCACGCTCAACAGTACCAAGAATTTTTAAAGACAATAAATTTCACCCGTACAAGATAAAAATTGTCCATGAAATGAAGACGATTTTGATAGAAAAATTTTTGTGAATTGATGTCCCAACGTTTAATCAACAATGAAAATCTGTTATTTAATATTTTTTTCTTGGATGAGTGTACGTTCTATTTACATGGTGCTGTAGCTAGACATAATTGTCGATATTGGAGTGACTCGAATCCACACTTGTTTCAAGAGGTACACTTGCAATATCCTGAAAAAATAAGTCGAGTGGTCGCCGAGATCTTCGGACCTAAGTCATTTAGATTACTTTCTTTCGGGGCATTTGAAAAGTAAAGTTTTTATTACGAAGCCAGATTCCATTCAAGATGATCGTCACAATTTCTAGAATGTTATTATAAATTCAAATAGCTTCACAACGATGGAAGATAGGTATAACTTTATTGTACAAAACTTACTAAAAACCATGGAAAATCTAAAAATTAAAAAATGGAGGTCTCCACTTAAAAATATAAAGTGTAACGCAATATCTTATTCTTGGATCACCCTGTATTGTACGCCTATAAATGAAAAAACGTCCCCCTAGAAATCAAAATTGACGTGGTCGAGCGTTTTCCCCAAAATAGGAGAGTCACAAATAGGGGCGCGACCTTGTCATCTACCAACTGTGTTTCATGCTTATGGGCAATAATCAGCATGCTATAGGCTTGGTCTTTAGGTAGGACAACGAAGGAAAGCAGGGCGAACTATCATCTATTAGAGGTATGAGGTCTAACAAGATACGTCAGCAAGTCAAATGGTCGATTCTGGTAATGCTGACCGAACGTGTATTTTTTGGCAGAATGTTTTTCTGATCTTACCTAATATGACCTCGGCAGCATAGAACTTCATCTCTGTCTCGTTGAAGACGCCGTGCTGCGAGAGGTGGTAGTGCAGATCGCCGCCGTTCATCAGGTCCAGGATAAAGCAGAGTTTGTCGGGCGTGTGGAAGGCATACGTCATACATACTATAAAGGGACAGTCTTGACCGGTGCTCACCAAGGATAACATTATCCTCTCGTTCAGCGCTAGCGTTTCGCCTACAAACAAAATGACTCGGTACTATCCAAACATTATTATAAATCTATTTAAAATTCAGTTTCGGTATTTTCATGGCTTTTGGCGGGTTACAAGTAGAACTACAGGAATTACTTCCATATCTCACTTACACATACATTTGCAACTGATCTATATGCATTGGAGTTTGTTTGTGCGACTTGTGTTTAACGATGTTAATCTTCAATATAAAGCATAGTAGTGCCTGAAGATACAACTACACTGTCGACAGTCTGTATTTTCAGAAAGAGAGTAAAAATAACGGTCCTCTGATCACGTGCCAAAATCACGTCTTTTTACTTACCAGTAATTTGAATTTCTCTTTATTATTGGTAGAGTGACGATTCCTAGGACAAACCCTTTTCAATGATTTTCATTTGGCAAATTTCACAGTTTATTGATCGTATAATTTCATACGTATTATATTTTTCTTTCTCAGCGATTCAGTATTGTGTTAAAACCATTTGGACACTAAATGTTATAGTATTATTGATGACAATCTCAGAAATTTCCTCATAAAATATCGTTGGTCCCTCGTTGAGTTGGTTCCACCCTATGGCAACCAGCGCCACCTTGTGATTTCTTTACGTACTAGCCGTATACGGATCAAGATACCTTGTTCGTGCGTGTATAGACGCGTCCAGCGCCATTTTTCTTTTCTTTCTGCTGACGTTTGGTTGTGCGTGGGTCGCTTCGTTAGCTTCCAGATCCTGGGATTTATACCCATAAACACCAGATTATGGAGTAGCATCTTTTATTTGGTACTTTACGTTTAGTTGTTTTGGTTTGGGTGCTACCCGTCCATTTTCTAATGGGATTTTAATCTTCAGCGGTAAATTATTTTTTGTATACCATCGGACCACGTCCATTAATGCATATCCTGAACAAGTTTGTTCAATATCTGCTTCCTTTTAGTGGAGAGGCATTGCGGAGAATCACCATTCACACTCCTCCAGATTTGTTTTGGTAGCGGCCTTGTAGCTGTTTCGCAGCCGATTTTGCTGGAAGCTACCTTTTCCTCTTGACAAAAAACCCTGATGTGAACAGGTAAAATATCATTTTGATTGGGTATTTCGTAGATATTTATATATTGATTATTGCTGACTGAAATTCTTAGAGTGTTCTTGATTTTGTTTGGCATTTTTTGTTTGGGCTTACTAGAATACATTGATCATGATTTTGATTTTTGAGCTGCAGTAACTTTATTTTAGAACAATTGATAAAATTTTGAGGGTGTATCACTTTTGTACATTTTTATCTTTTCTTGTCCCTGCTTTACTTTTCTTGTAAAAGATAATGTACATGGTATTTCTTCAAGTTTCGAGTGTTTACGTGTGTAGTTCTGTCTCAGTCAGAGAATAGAAAGCAGATTTTTAAGCTGTATTTCCCTCTCTAGGGTTTTTTGATACCGTAAATTTCGGAAAACGAGGCGAGCAGCCCCTACCTTGTGACTGCCCACTGGGTTCTGATCTGAGCGTTTGTGAGTTGAGGATTCTTTTCTTTTGTGTGGGTGGTCAGGCAAAATAAGTTCCGATTAACACCTCAGGGATTTGTGGCATAATCCATCTTAACCGCCCCTACTCTCTGCAGTATTGAGCTAGGGCCAAAATTTGCACGCCACTAGTCAGCTGTTTTGCATTGACTGGCCCTTAGATTTTATTTATAGTGTTTTAATAATTCATTAATTTTAAGAATAAGGAAAGAGGAATCACACCACCATTTCCTCTTGTTTATAAAAAAAGGCTTGGCACTCTACCACTCAATTCATATGTGTGCAAGAGCGAGTAGCAGATGCCATTCATTTCATATTTATTTGAAGTAGCTGCGCGTGTTGCCTGCTATATAGTTTGATGTAACCTCCCCTTCAGAGGCCTCCAAAAATCCTCGAAAATATATATTGAGTAATAATCATGAAACGAGAGAAGGTTTTTACATTGTGCATTATTATTTATCTCGTCATTTAAATTTTAGGGAAATTTGTTTTGCGATGTCCAGTAAGAAATACAAGTCAGTGCCAACATACGAGGCACTCAGTACATTCAGAGTTGGCGGGTACGATCGCTCCTTTATCTCTCCTGACGAGACTTTTCCCAGTTCTGCTACCTTATGGCAGCCGGTATAAAAAAATCTTACCTTGCTTCATTTTTATCCTCTTCTTATCGAGACACTTCATCGCGTACATCTTCCCCGTATCGGCTTTTCTGCAGCCGTATACTTCCCCGAACCCGCCCCTTCCTATTATCCTATGCACGCTGAAGTCGTTCATTGTTAACTGAAATCATACCAATTAGTCGATCTCAATGTTCCGGGAAACGAGGATGTATTCCGGCAAACATAAATATTGGAGCTAGCCCCCTCAAAACGTTAATGATGTTTAGACCGGGATCCCAAGAGGACGACGAGAAAATCGCGCAATCGTGGGAGTAGCTTTCCAACTCGATTTTGTTTTTCGTAATTGATTTTGTTGGATGAATCAAGATGTTGCCGGGCGACAAGCTGGTGCAATCAGAGTTTATAAGTAGGGTTTTAGGCTTTGAAAATAAATCGTTCGCATCTAAAAGGTTCCTTCATCCAAATATTAATGATATACCTGTAGGTATGGTGTATCTGAAGTCACTTGAAATAGCATAAAAACCTTTGGTCGGCGCGTCCTTTGTAATTTCATGACGTATCATAGGCGTGCGGCATTTATTTAGAACGATAATAATAATGTTTTTATATCACAATAAATGGATTTTACTATCTTCTTATTTTTTTGATTTGGGATAAAAAATACTTATATTGGGAGTTTAATTTATGTTGACTGAAAGTTAAGAAATGGAAAAATTACAGAATTCCAACGTTTGACATAGGCAAATATTTACATAGCAGGTAGGTATATAAAAAGGTATATAAAGACTTACATTATAGGTATTTATATCATCCTCGCCTTCGGAGCTGTCGCTAGAGTCATCTTGTAGAGGAATTACAACGGGATTTACAGGAGGCAAAACACAATATTCATTTTCTTTTTCAATAATATGCCTAGAACACTGCTTCCATAGGTCTGTGGCAGCAATATGAGATACTGCATCTCTTATTGTGGCCAATAGCGATTCACTTAATTGAGGGGTCTGATTATGTTTTCTTACTTTCCATTCCCTTATCCTTCATAAAATCAATAATGTCTTGTTTTTTGTGCCTGTATTCGGAATTTGTTTTTCTGTCGGGAATGGTATGGCGCATTGTCCATAATAATCACTGAATTGGGGAAATGTTTGGTATTAAGTGCTGCTCTATCCACATTTCAAATAAGTCGGAGGTCAGTCCTCATGATAGTCGGCACATGATTCTTTGATATTTTTGGCAGATAACAGCAAGGCATTAGGTATAAATCCATTTTCACTGCCAGCATGGAGAATAATGATTCGTTTTCCACGGTTGCATGGTGCATTAAAATGCACTTGTTGCTGTCGTCAACCCAGCCGTACTGCACAACATCATGGTATCATACCACGTTTCATCCAGGTAAATCAGATTTCTTTTCTGCTCTCTATAGATTTTAACTTTGTGCAAAAATTCTTGGCGCAATTCAACGATTCGAGACGACTCCATAATCACCATTCTTTTATCTAATTTTTTGTATTGAACACCACACAGTTTTACAATACAGTGCAGTGAGTCTAAGCATTTGTAATTATAAAATCTTCAGGATAATCTTTTAATTTATCCCGTATCATTTCCAACGTGGGCACCAAATTTTCTTTATAAATCCGTATATTATACGACGATATCTTCCTGAAAACCACGTCTATTCTTTTTAATTTTTGCCCTATGCGCTTTCTGTGGAAGGAATGGTTGACTACATCTCCCCTTTTTATAACCCGATAAATGGTAGACCGACTGATTTTTGTCAGGATACAAATTCTGTTTAAAATTTGATTTTGCGAGAATCTGGATTTTCGTTTTCAGACAATCATATATATTTAGGATTACTCTTTGGGTCTGTTCCTCTAAATCTTTATGAAATAATTCTGCCTGCACAGGTTCATCAACATCTCCTCGTGGCTTGGAGCATTTCCCAAGGTCTCCAAAGAGCCATATTTAGGACACACAAGAACAATCAACACAACAATTAAATCAACAAGTAAACCGAGTATTCAAAAGTCAAAAACACACAAACTAATAAAATCTATGAAAAAACACGGACAGACTAAAGAAAACACGTTTATTCACCGCTACACGGCACTGGCTAAACTGTTTCAATTTTCAGTAGCCACCTGCACTTGTTCCGAGCTCTGAAATACAACGCTTTCTCATTGGCTATGTCCACGTGGGCCGGTGAACTGCCTTTGATCTCTATACGGGGGATATTTGCTGCGAAATTGGGCGATTTTTGCAGCAACACAGCGTGTTAAATATAGATATATAAAACGCACCCGGTATTTCACAGTGTTTCAAGTGACTTCAGATAAAGTATACATACATATTTTAAGCTTTCGGTAACATTTATTTGAAAACACAGTTGTATCTAATCATTTTTTCTTTATTTATTTTTATCATGTGTATACGAGGTCTGTAAATTAAATGATCAGACTGGCAACTAGCGTTCGATCTGGCAACTCTGGAGGCGCCTGGCTTGGACGGGCAGGGTTGCCAGGCGTGGCGATTTTCGACAAATTGGCGATTTGACAGCTTCAAATGGCGACTAAAATGGTAGCTTGGCGATTAACTACTTAGTGCGCCCAGTATCCATCTAATTGTCGATACGTGGCGATTTTATCATTCCTGACGCAAATTAATTTGTAATAAATTTTTGGTAATAAATATGTGATTACGAATAATGAAACATGAAACGAGGACCAGCGTAGTTTCTGTTCTCTAAGCAACTGGCGTTTGTGGTCAAACATCAAAGGTGTCGTGTTCCGTCAAGCATTTGAAGGAGTCCTCATACTTAATTTACAGACCTCGTAAGTATTGCTATCTCCTTAGTATATTTCGGGGATGAGTTTAAGTATCTTTTGCCCAGATTTTCTTATTTAAGTTGTTAATGTACAGGGTGGCCAATATATAACTGATTTGAATTGCGCGCCCTTTTTGATACATGCATTTCAGTACGTGGCGCCGTAGTAGTTGTTTAAAGCACATGTGTCCAATTCATCATGGAGCGCTACACGATCCCACAATACGTCCGTATTGTTAAACGTTTTACTTAAATAACACTTATCAACAGCCAAAAAATATCCTAAATAAAATCAACAAATATTACTATTTTAATGTGCTAAAACCGGAATGAAACTTATTTTTCAATATTAGTTCAAGTTTTAGAGATACGGTATATATATGTGTTCCTGCTGTGACAGTGTTAATATACTGTAATTCACAAGAATGCACGTGCTACATTTTTATATTCGGCAAGGAAAGATGATCTAATCGGCATGATTGTGTTACGTTATACATACGTGTACATTATACTGTTTTATATTAGCCATTTTTTCCTCAGTTGGCTGACAGCGTTCATGCAAGATGTCTCGGAAGTGTGAAACAATCCAGATCAGTTTCGTTACGTTTGTGGTGATGTGACTTTTGCGTCTCAGAGACGGTCTATTACTCCACTAATAACAAAGGCATATCAGCTTTATTTCGGTTGTAAACTAGGTGATCAAGACAAACAGTGGGCACCCCAAATCTGCTGTAATACATGTGCTTCAAGTCTGAGGAGCTGGTTAAATGGCAAAACACGGTCTATGCGCTTTGCTGTCCCAATGGTTTGGAGAGAGCCTACAAATCATATTATGATTGTTACTTTTGCATGGTACCTTGTGTTGACAAGCCACAGTATGTCCAAGAAAAAAAATCGTTATTAACTATTAACCCAAATATACCATCTGCGATGAGACCTGTGCCCTCACAGTGACGAAAATCCTATTCCAAAACCCCCAGAATCCTACACTTGCGAATCAGATCATGGCGATCGAGTGATTCGTCAGGAAGAATATATGCCATCAACATCAAGAGATCCTGATTTTATACCGAGCACGTCATGCCACCAACCGCACAAATAACACAGGTCAGAATTAAATGATCTTGAAATGTAAGGCAGAGATACTTGGATCAAGACTGCAGCAATGGAACTTGTTAGAGACGATGTTCGGTATGTGTTTTTCGTAAACGCCACAAAGACTTAGAACCATTTTTCAATATGGAGAATAACTTGGTTTTCTGCAGTAACATTAACGGCTTACTGGCGGCTTTAAATATAAACTATAACCCAGAAGAATGGAGATTGTTTATAGACAGTTCAACATTGAGTTTAAAGGCAGTGTTATTGCATATTGGAAATATTTTACCATCTCTTCCTGTAGGGTATGTAGTTCACATGAAAGAATCATATGACAATATGAAGTACCTATTGACATGCATAAAATACGATGAGCACCAATGGCATATTTGTGGCGATTTGAAAGTTGTCAAAAAAATCTACAGCATATGTCATTAGTAGATTCGAAAAAAAATTTATTACCACCACTGCATATCAAGTTGGGCCTAATGAAAAACTTTGTCAAGGCATTAGATAGAGATGGGTCAGCTTTTCAATATCTGCGTCAGAAATTTCCAAGACTAAGTGAGGCAAAGGTTAAAGAAGGTATTTTTGTTGGGCCACAGATTCGAAATATTTTGAAAGATACACAGTTTGAAAACACTTTAACAGGTATTGAAAAAACTGCTTGGAATGATTTCCGTCTGGTGGTCACTAATTTCTTGGGAAATAGAAAAGCTGACAACTATAAAACCCTTGTCAAAAATATGCTGTCATCGTATCAAAAGATGGGCTGTAATATGTCTCTTAAGATACATTTCCTACACTCACACCTGGACTTTTTTCCTGACAATTGCGGAGCCGTAAGTGATGAGCACGGCGAACGTTTTCATCAGGATATTTCAACAATGGAAAAAAAGTACCAGGGAAAGTTGGATTCAGCGGCCCAAAATTAACAAAGAAGTGCACTTTTCCCACAAGATACAATTAAAAAACTAAAATTTGTTGTCCAGTGAATGAGTCGATTGATGCAACGATTCGGAAGCTACGACAAGATTTCGGTCGAAATTAAGTACACGTGTTCGAACTGTTCGTACTCCAGAAAATATCGAGAGAGTTCGTGAAAGTGCAGTAGAGCGCCTCGAGACGTCTACCAGACATCGTTCTCAAGAACTGG